CTGACACGCGATCTGCGAGCCCAGACCTCAGAAAGCAGAAGCCCCTGAGTCTGGAGCCCGTTTTGAAAGAGAAACAGGGCTGGCAGTGAGGCCTCCTCCCCACCCGCTGCCTCCCGCGGAAGGTGGCCTGAGCTCGGCTTCTCCAGTCCCACAGTCACAGCTCTCAGAACTTTCTGCAAAGCTCCCTCGCGGGCAAATAGCACTGGGGATGATAAAACCTGAGACTCCGCTGCACGGCCCGGGTGTGTGGGGGGTGCTGGCCACCGCTGTGGGGCGCACGGGGCGAGGCCCGCCCTTCTCAGCCTGGGATTTTCCTGGTCCTGTTCCAACCTCAGGGGGTCCGGGAACCACCCGGCCGCGGAGGAGTAGCTGGCTGTTTGCCCAGGAGGAGCGGGTGTGTTCCCCGGCCTCCCTTCTCCAGGTCTCCAGGCTTCCTGGATTTCTCCCTTGAAGCCAAGACCTGACATTTCGCCCACGTCCATCTCAGCAGGACCTGGGACTTTTGAAAGGAGCTTCTAAGGTGAAGCTCTGCGAGAGGAGACGGGCTCCCCCGCGGCGGGGCCATCAGGTCTGCTGTCTCCTCCCCGCTCCAGCTCTACCCCGGAGCCCTGCTTGGCTCGCGAAGCCAGCCCCTCGCGTGGCCTGTGGCTCTGTGGGTTCCCTGCAGGGGCCACGGTGTGTCCTGGGCAGGCACCCTGCCTTCTTGTCTTCAAGGGCTGGGGACCGCCTGCGGGGAGGCTTTCTGGAATGTGGGGGACCATGGGACACGCAGGAGTCTGAGCTGGACCCTCTGTAGACAGTTTGGTAAACAGGGAAACTGAGGCAGGTTAGGGCAGGGGTGGGGTGGGGGGGTAATGCACTCGCATCAGCAGGTGGTGTTCACAAGTCTACTCCACCGTCTCCAGCTGCCTCCAGCTTCAGGGCAGGAGCGGGAGATGCCTGAGGAGGCCCCGCCTGGGGGGTGAGGCTGCTCTGGAAGCGGGTCACTCCCTGGGAGCGCGGGCATCTCGGGGCCCAGGCCGCAGGTTCAGTCTGCTGCGCGCCTGCCCGGGCTCCTGCAGATGTGGGTGCGGGGGAAGAGCAAGCAAGTGGAGCCAGGCTGCTGCTTGAGGACCAAATGCCAGTGTGAATCTCGTTCTAGGAGGACAGGGGGACCCCTGCACCGGGCACTTCCTTCTCCCTCGGCTGAGGAAGGAAGTGTGTGTGGCACAAACCCTGAAACTGTCCCCCGAGCTGCTTCCGGTGGGCGGGGGGAGGGGAGCCTTAAAAACCAGGCTGTCCGTCTGCACAGCGGGGTGAGCGGGGTGTGTAGTAACCGATGGGCTCTACCAGGAGGGCAGCGGGAGCAGCTGGCAGCCTGTGCCTGTCGGGGCGCCCTGAGCCCCCCACAAGCACAGATCTGCGGGGTGGCAGGGACTGCTTTTGACGTTTCTTTGTGGAAACACCTGAGTGTGGAACAGCCGAGCCCGCGCCGGGAGGGAAGTAAGAGGAAACCAGGAGCCGGGAAGCGAGGACTCTGGGCGGGAAGTCACTCTGTGTGGGACGTGATATGGGGAGTGGGGCTTGGGATTCCTGGACGATCTCAGAGTGCACCCCTTTTTTAAATGGCGAAACCCACTTTGGAGACACGAAGGGACCTTGATATTTGGGGAGAAACTGAGTCATATTGTTTCCCACTAATAGGAGCCCAAATCAGGCCCACAGGCTCCTGAGTTCCTTCTTGGGAACCCACGTACCCGCCGGAACCTGGGACATCTTTTCTTTTCTTAAGCACTGTGACCAGGATCGACAATATTACTCTTTATTCAGCCCCGCGAAGCCTCTGGAGGGAACAGGTGCAGGGGCTGCGTGAAGGCCCACTGTCCAGCGGGAACGAGACTCCCTGTGTATCACGGCACAGGGACCATTTCCCGTTGTGTGAGCGCCACATGCAGGGCCGGTGTGGACCTAGTCCTCGGTACCGCCGAATCCCCAGAAGGGAGCCTGAGAGAAAGGAGGGTGGCGAGGAGGGCACGGCGGGTGCGGGGAGAACACACTGCCTTCCTCTGGGGAGCAGGCGGGCCGGAGAGGAAGGTGAGAGCAGTGAGAAATGAAAGCATGAGACAAAACCGTGCGGCCTCTGCGTATGGTGGACGCTGACCAAGCGGCAGCTGGACTCTCCCCATTTGGAGGAAGGGGTTACTTTTTCTTCATGCGAAGTCTCCTTGCCTCACTGTGCCCCAAAGGGGTGCCTTTTTCTGATCCAGACAGAGGCCAGCTCTAGTCTGCAAAGGCCAGAGGGCGGATGACCTAGACTCAGCTCGTGGGCAGTGGGCAACGCTGAGAGAAAGATGGGCCACGGCGTGGCCAGAATGACGTGGCAGGAATGCCAGTCATAGACTGAGCCCGGGAGCAGGCAAGGTCTGACTTGGAGAGTAAGAGGGGAAGGTGGGAGGGAAAGCCTAGGAGTTGTAGGAGGGAGGAGAAATGGCCTGTGGGCGGAGCTCACACGGGAGGCCTGGATGCCGGGAGGAGGCCGTGCAGCCTCTGTGGGTGGGACCCTCACTGGTCTGAGGTCTCCAGAGATCAGCGCGTGTCCTCACCATAGCCGTGCCGTCTCACCAGGCAAGGTTGGTTAACGAACAGGAGCTCCTTCCCCTCCGTCTGCAGCAAGAATGTCCCCAGCCCCAGACGCCTCCCCAGACGCCTCCCCAGACGTCCTCTGGCTCCACGCCCCTCGGAGCCCTCTGTTCAAACCAAGTTAGAGCCCCGCAGCGCCGTCCGCCCGGGCCTCTCCCTGAAGGTTCCTGGAGTCCGGGAGCCTTAGCGCCTGTACCCGTGGCCTGATGGGCACGCGATACTTGCTTGTTGAATGAGAAACAAATGAAGGTGGGAGAAGGATCGGGTGTTCTTCTTTAAAGCCAGGTTCAGACCTGTTGGTGTTGACTGTTCTTGGGAGGCATGTCCATGGGGAATACAGACCCCTGGGGACGCAGATATGACTCCTCTCCAGGAGAGATGAACGGTGAAGCTGCGGCAGGAACGGAGAGGGAATGTGTAGTAGAGAGAGGAGACTTAGGACATGAGGGTTAAAGGACACTCTGCGTTACTTACGAATGGGCTGTAGTCAGCTCGAAGAGCCAGGGAGCATTTGCAAAAAGTCTGATTCTTGTGGACTAAGTCCATCATTTGCTTAACAAAACGGTAGACACGTGAAATCGGCTAGTGTTTAGGTGAACAAGTGGAGGGTTCAGTCGGTGAAAATTAGACTTCGTTGCCATCGGTTAAACGGTGTCTACTTTAGGTGGAGACCATTGGTGAGCCCTTTTCTCTGAGGCAACTCCAAGTCCCTCCCAGCTGTTAGCTGCCCTTCACCCATTTATTCCGCATTTATTGAGCACTGTTACATACTAGAGATCGTGTTTTAAATGGCACCAAAAAATTATTGGGCTCTCACATCTGTATCCTCACAGAATCGGTATCACTGACGAGAGAGAGAGGGGGAGAGAGAGAGAGAGAGAGAGAGAGAGAGAGAGAAAGAGAGAGAGAGGGAGAGAGAGAACATGTATTAGTATATATAATGTGTTCATTTTACTTCATGAAGTATTTTCTACCCCAATCTCACCAACAGCCTTTGCTGTTTTGGGATCCCCCCTCTCGCTGAGCCCTGGGTCATAACTAGGGACTGCGTGGCCTCTGGGAGCTGGAGTCTGTGGGCATGGCCACGTACCCCACTTTCCTGTCTGGCTCCCAGGCACTCTGTGGGACCCTCGGTAACAGTGACTTCCACTAGGACAGTGGTCGGCAAACTGCGGCTCGCGAGCCACATGCGGCTCTTTGGCCCCTTGAGTGTGGCCATGAAGTTTCAATCGCACTGTACATGCGCGCCCGCACGTGGTATTTTGTGGAAGAGCCACACTCAAGGGACCGCAGTTTGCCGACTACGGCACTAGGAGAGCCTCCCATTGGCTGCCCGCAGTGACGGGGAGTTGGGGTAGTGGGACTGAAGGGCCGGGGCCTGTCACAGAGGCCGAGCGCATTCTGGAAGGGGGTCGGGTGTCAGAGCCTGCCGAGGCGAGGCCCCTCGCAGCCAGGCAGCCAGAGCCTGGCCGGTGCGTCGGTTCCGTGGGAAACCTGAACACTGGCAGCTCAGCGGCCCCGTAATCTTATCGGGGCCACAAGAGAAAGCATTTTGATTCCAGAGAAATCTGCAGGCAGCTCCGCCTGCTCCAGTAATAGCTTCAGGTTTGCAGAGCCAACTCGACCAACCCTGCTCCCTCCCCAGCCTGTAACAGCTCAGCGCTGGGTGGGGGGAAGCCACATGGTCGAGGAGAACCTGAGACCCTGGGAGGGACACCGAGGCCCCTGGGAGGGACGCCCAGGCCGCGGGGACTGGGCGCCGTGGGCCTGTGCAAAGCTCGCAGCGTGTCTCTCATCTGAGCAGTAGCTCAGCCTAAGCCCTGAGAAATGAGATTGTCAGTTTCACCACAAAAGCAGCATTCACTCCTGCTCGGCCTTCAGGGCGTTCGTAGATATTTCTATCTCCGTGGAAACAGGACGCCGTCCATCACTGAGCACAGAAATGTAGTGGCTGCCAGGGCCCTCCTGAGCCAGGCCAGAGAGGACACCACCTCGTACCCCGGTCTTTTGGGCAGTGAACTCCCCAATTTTTCCCTTTGGGCTTCCTGAATGCCTGACTCCTGGGATTGTGGGACACGAGCGGGGGGCCTGGGGGCTCCGCTGTGAAGTCCCACGTGGAGGGCAGGGACTCCCCAGGAGAGGTGAGGTGGACATGCAGGCCCTCCTGTGGGACACCCTCCTGGTGCCATCAGGGCCCATTCTCCATGGTCAGCGTGGGCCCAGGCTGGAATCCCTGAGAAGTTCCAGACGGAGCCGGGCATTCTCTCCAGCCAAGAAGCGAAGCGTGGGCCTCATCGGATGCCCCAGACCCTGGTTTCGAACCTGCTCGCTCCAGGTCCCGGCCACCCCCCTGGAAGTCACAACCCTTCCCAGGCTGGGTCTGCTACAGTGAGGCAGCAGCAGATGACTCTGAGTTGAGACTTGAGGGATGGGTGGGAGTTCAAAGGCAGCTTCTCTAACGGGAGCTGGAGAAAACGCGCTTCCTCTGCTTGGGACTCCTCCACACACAGCTCTGCAAGGCCTCCTGGCAGCCCTGGGGGTGTCCGGTCTGACCTCAGCCCGATTTCAGCCCCCCACCCACCCCCACACACTCTGCCTGGGGCCGGCCCCCAACCGCAGCTGCTGAGGGGATGTGTCTGAAACAGGCCCAAGGGGTCACCTGTGGTCACGCTCACCAAAAGCCACCCCAAGACCCTCCACCTGCTCCCCCGGAGAGAGGCCCCTGGGAATAAACCCCGCGGAGAAATCGCCTGGGCCCCGCACACCTGGACCTCAGCCGGCTCAGTCATGGGCACTGTGCTGCCAGGTGAGACCGTGGCCAGTCCCGGCTCTCGAGATCCATGCAGCTGGGTGGAGAGGGCCCGAACCCGAAGGATCGCTCAGGAACAAGCAACTGGCTCC